AAACCAAGCGCGGGAAGCATCTCGCGCTTGGAACAATGCTGAACAGCAGGTGTCAGATGAGTTGTGAGTGGACCCTAGATAACCCTTGGAGCTAGCCATGACGTATGCATGTGTCCACGTTCAAGGATGGTGTCCTCGACCCTTGAGGTAGAGACCCATATATCTACTTGAAAGGACGGGCCTCCGCTCAATTGACCCTGCAAAGCCTCACGTCAACTTCGGACGCCCGCGGCGAGGCACGCCATTGCCGGGTTTTCGGAGGCTGTTCCATGGCCAAAAAATCCGCAGATCTTGGATTCGCAAAATGGAAATCGGTTCCCTACAATTGAGATCCCTTTTGGGTTTCCTCTGACCAACCCAAACGGGCCCACCAGTAAACAAACTCATGCACCAGTGAGTGGCTTAATTGTAAACGCTTCGCGTTGCCCGCCTCGGCCCAGCCTAGTTTGAGGGAAGGGTCAGGAACACCGAAATCCAGTGTTGGGAAGGTCCGAATACCTGAAGCTGGCTCCAGACAAGTCAGACAAGCCGGCCTCGCCTGGTTGGGCTGGGCCACAGGCTAGTCTCAGACACATCAGATAAGCCTGCGCTGGGCCTGAAGCTAGTCTCGGGCAGCTTGGCTGGACCTTGCTTGCGTGGGTTGTTGGTTGAGCTGGGCCTGAAGCTAGTTTACGGCGGGCTGCGCAGCCGCACTGAGGGGGCTCGGCTATGGCTGGGCTGGGCCTGAGGCCAGTTTCAGACCTGGGCTGGGCAGGCTGGGCTGGGCTTGCTGTGGCTTGAGCTAGGCCTGTTTCACTGGGTTTGAGGCTGGGTGGGCTGGGCGGACAGGCCTGGCCAGCAGGCGGGTTGCTGGTTGGGCTGGGCCTGAGCCTAGTCTCAGACACGTCAGACAGGCCTGGCCACCAGGCGGTCATGCTTTTCAGCACATTTTCGACAAAAATGGACCCATGGAGCTGGACGCCGACGAACCCCGAAAATTTCAAGGCCAGCCGACATGGGTGGGGGGCGGACAAAAAATTTGGTTGGGGAGAGGGGAAAAGCGAAGATTCTCTTTGAGAAGAGATCTGAGCGCCCTTGGCACCTTTGGGGACGAGGCGAATTATTAACCACGAAGAAGCCTTAGGGTTCGTCTACACTTGGGTCTGAGGAGTATGCTGCAGCTGCAAAGGCTTCAAATCGGCTCACCTTCGGAGTGACCTAAGCTTCTCACATGATAGATCTATGCAAGTCTTCACAGCCTGGCCTTTGTTTGCCTGCAGCTTTTCGACCTTACCTGTTTGAGCACGTACGACTGACCCCATTTGAACGTGCATGATGTTGCTTAAATGAATCGACTAATCACTGATTTTGTCCTTATCATACCTGGCATGCATTGGGCTGCGCTAGAGTGTCAATCATTGTGATGAAGACAAATTCAACGACGAACTGGCTCGGCAAGCGGCCGGGGTTTGTACGGCAATGCGTGCTGTTGTTTAAGGTATGTGTGGCTGGAGTTGAGAAGCACCCCAACTGGTGCTGGATTTGTCTCATTTACAGTAGTTCCACATAGTGCCTGCGTGTTGAATTGCTACAGTTCTTCTGTCACAGTTCCATTGATTGCCATTGCCACGGCTTGCGATTGCCATGTTGCTGTAGTCATGCATTTGGTGGCCATAGCCAGTACCTGTTAAGCCGGCGGAAGGTCCCCTCCAGTCAGCGAGATCCGTATCGAGTCCTCTCCCCTTACAGTACCAGTGAGCACGTGTGGCACGACAATGGCCCGCCCATTGCCCGGGCAAATCTCCAAATCTTGGGAAGGGCAACGGTTCGGTACTCACTGTAGAAGGTTCCAAGAACCCCTTCTTCCTCCAGCGATTCCTTCAGAAGCCTAGAATTCTGTTTCCTATGCGTGAGATGCAGATCTTGAACTGCCAAGCTTCCGGAAACAGCGCACCCCTTTTTCCGCGCGATCGACTCATGATCACGTGGCGGTTCTGCTTGAACGCCACTGCTCCCTGCCGAGCGTTTGGTTCAAAGGTCACAGGTTTTGGCCCAGCTATGAGCGCTTGGCAGGAATGGACATATTCACTGGCCTGAGCTTGCCCACAAACTCAGGGCCGCGGAAGCTTTTTGCCGACTGGAAGAAGAAGTTCTTGAAGTCCAAGAGAAAACTGGCAAAAGCTTTTGCAATGCATTTAGACCCCTTGCTTCCCCTACCAACACGGTGGTGGATTTCGGTGCGAGCGCTACCTCGAGTTCCGCGCGGAATTGTAAAAAGAGCCCAGCTCACTTGCCCAAACTGGGGAATCAAAGGTGGATATGGGCATGCCTGTTTTGGGGGGTACGGCACCTTTGTTGGGATTGGTTTAGAGTTCAGAGGGAGTTGGGTGCGAAAAGGAAACCGATTTGGGACCCCCCATTTTGACACATACCCAAGCCTTTTATGCCACCTTCAACATTGTTATTACCATCTAGCCTGCTGACCTTAATGCTTGCCAACAGATGCATTGTGGGTTGCCCT